TTTTGTGTGTTTGTGTGTGTTTGTCCTTATGCGGTTTACAGTAAGTTTTCATATCTCCAGCAAGAGATAAACAACCCAGTAATGTGTGTATTTATGTATAGGAGCATGTGTTTGTATGAGTTTATGTTTTTCAAAACTAGCCGCACTGTAGGCCATGCTCTAATATCAGGGTAAGATGGGCATCACTCTGATCTTGTCATTGTTCACCTGGCCTAACAGCGTACAAGGAATTGCCATATGTTAATTTGTCCATTCGTACTAGAGGTTATTACAGAGATAATATTGGAATATGATATAGTATTCTGTATTACCCTAAATACTTATTTACCCCCTATTACCTTTCTTTTTTCTTCTTTCCAGTGCTGAATGTAATGAGGTGACAGAAACAAATAAAGATAACAGCACCCTCTTTATGTTACATCATCTTGTTTTTTTCCTCATTTCCAGCACTATATTAGAAGAGGAGAAGCTCCAGCAGAAAGAGAGGAACAGGATGGAGATGAGGAGACAGGTCACTGTTTCCTGGGACTCGGGAGGGTCTGATGAAGCACCACCAAAAGTAAGGCATCACTACACCACATGTTTTCATGTATGTTTGTACAAGTGCAACAGGTGTAGTATCAAAGAGCATTGGTTGTGTTTGTGCTGTTTGTAGTGAAACACTCTGATCATTGCAAATCCCATGCACTCTTTATAGTTAGGGATTGCAGCCTCTTTGATATGCTTTCGTCTGCAGTTAATGACTTATTGATTCATTTGATTTAATGTTTCCTCTGTTTTTACAAATTTGACGCTTTAAACATTCAAGGTTTCCGCAGGACCCTGGTGACATGCCTATTGAAATTACTGCTGAAGTCAGTTTTCAGATGGGGTTTTCTCACTAAGGTCAGGAAATACAAACGTGAACAGGATTGAGCTGAGTCACATATCGTAAGAAAATATGCCCTCACGCAGAGACTTGTGCAAAAGATGACAAAACATAACAAGAAAGACCATTGACCGTGTGACTTTTATGTCACATTTTTTGCACAAATAGATTTTTTGCATTTGAAAAGCAGCTTCTTTTTTCAGTCAGTGTGCAGGCGTCCTATGATATGTCTGATATGTCAGTATGATGATCACCCTGTGATAGACGGGTTAAGGTTGATATTACAGTCTCATAGATTTGAACAAAGGAGACTTACTTGGTATGTGTAACGTATATGCAAGAAGAAACTCTTACGCATGCAATGGAAAATTATCCAAAACTTGAACAAGACGTGTGATTAGAACAGTTAATTCATGAACTGCTTCCTTCAACTGTGTAAACAAGGTGAATTTCTTGAATAATTAGCTTTTACAAATATGACATTACTTAAAATACTCTGTTTGCACATTCATAACCCCCCCCCTCCAACACACACACTCCCACTTCCACTTCACCTCACAGCTTGTTGCCCCAGCTGCTGGCTGCTTCACCCGCACTTACTGCCCCCATGCCCCTGCTGTTAGCATCTGTTAACTGCGTCTTCTGGTTACAACTAAAGCCATATGTCTTCAGCAGTAATGTATGGGTTTTTTTAAGCCTTCAGTGATGCAGTTGTCCTTTCACTAATCTAAATTTGGTTGCAGGTATTAGTGGATGGCACAATTGTTGTATTTAATTGACGACAAAAGGAATCAAAATGTTTGTATGGCTTTGGTTACAGTCATGCACATTTCTGTCTGCGCTTCAGTTCATCCCTGTCTGTCTCACCTCGACTACATGTCTCTATCTCCTATGATACAGTACCTTCTTTATTTCCATTTCTTCCTCCTCTACCTCTGTCTTTCTGTTTGCAGCCGAGCCGTCGCCCCTCCCTGCAGCCCACCTTCAGTCTGGATTGTCTGTCTGCTCCTTCTCCTCACCACCATTGCCATCAAAACCAGCGCTTTGCCTCACAGCTTTCCCTCTGCCTTGGAAACCCTCATCCTTCGTCTCCCTGCACCTCTTCTTACCTACCCACTCCTCCACTCTACCCATCATCTCTGCAATTTCCCCATCACTTTTCCTCTTCTCCCAATCCTCAGTCTCAGTCACCTTCTCTTCACGTCACCACTCACTCCAATCAATCTTTCTCTCATCACAACACAAAGTTGGATCTGGAATCCAACGCTCATCCCAGCTTGTCTCGTGCTAACTTCTATTCTCCACCTCACACCAGCTCAGACTGCCTTTCCAATGGCAGCTGCCCCTACAAGAAAAATCCCCCTACTAACGGCCACCTGCTCTGTTCATCCCAGCCAAAGTCAAACAACACACACTCCCATCCCTGGCACTTCTCCCCTCTGCTTTCCCAATCCAGCCCTAACCTTCACTCTCTGCCCCGCAGCATGTCAAATGTTTGTCCCCACACCCTCCAGAAAATCCAGCCCAAGTCAAATTCTAATCTTAAAAGCCTGCTGTTGCCCAGCTTTCACACTGGCTGCCAAACTAATCCCAGTACCCCTCTACAACCTGACTCTGACCCCCAGCACCAGCACCCTGCTGTGCAGTCATGTGGGAGGCCCCCGCTGGTCTGTCCTCCCCCCCTCACTCTTCCACACACAGAGAGAGCCCTCCCAGTACCCACTAACCACCATCCACCCAGTCGAATGACAAGCCTAACTACACCTTTTCCTACCACCTGCGCTGAAAGACCCATGTCCACACCCTTGAAGGCAGGTGGTGTAATATTAAACGGCACTAATACTGTTTTTGATTACAAAAACAAAGCTGTCTGTCTCTGTCAAAAAAAGTTGCAATTTGTAGCCCTTTTGATAAATGTCCTAGAGGATTTAAAAGGGAAACTCCAGATTCAAAGATTTACATTTAAGATTTATATTTTAGTATTTTAGGGTCGATTATTTTCTCAAAGCCTTATTTATTAAGAGTTTAACCCTCAGAACCCGAACTAATCTGTTTCATCAACACTGTGTGGTTTTGATTTGATGAGATTTGATTAACTGTGGCCTGGCAACATAAGCAAATGTCATCACATTTTGATTGAGCCTTGCCCACTTCGAACCAGTGATACAAGCACAAACAATACAGCGCAGAAATAAATCTCTCTAAATGTTTCCAAACATTTCCAAATGTTTATTTCAAGAACTGAAATTCCGTTTTCGGACTAGCTCAGAAAACAATGTTGCAACATTTTTTGATGTTATGACTTGATATCATGTCAGATTATACTCAATCTGATGTTTGCAGTGATTTTTGATACAATGTTTGCAAACACCAGTGACTGTAAATCAGCATGTTTATGCTTTGCCTGTTGGCATGCTTCATCTGTGTTGGACATGCTGTTAAATGTCCTCTGTCGTGATTGAATGCAGTAATATGTGTTTGCGTCAGGCATTGTGTTGATGTGTCCTCGGATTATTGCACCCTATTTCTAGCCTGTTCAGGATGTCTGTCATAAATCCTAAATCCAAGCAGTTTGATCCATCTAGCACACGTGGGACTTAAATACAGTATATCATGGAAAAGCAGAAAAAGTAAATATTCACAGAATTGTCAAAAACAATGTTTGCTTTTAAATTACACTGGAATTTGAATGAAGTGGCTTGAGTTTAAAATGGATGCTAAAAGCATTTTTCAGAACTAATGCTGCTATGTATGCAACAACCTTTTCACTTTCCATGTCCGAGTCTAAGCCATGTCCAAGAGAAAAGAGCTTCAACTACTGCAACATATTCAATTTAATGCTATGGGTCTGCACTGTGTACTGAACTCTGTCACATTGATATGTTGCATAATATACCACTGAAGCTTGTAAGAATGTGTGAAGCCATGATTGAGACAGTTACTATAAATACATAAAGAGCTAGCTAAAAGGTCTGTCTCTACTAAAGCCTGTTTCTCCAGAGCTGGTCACCTTGACCCCTAGCAGTAAGGTGATAGCCAGTATTACTACACATGAGCTTATTATGGTAGGTGACCCTGTTTTTGAAATTAACATTTAGTTAGAAACATCCCCCTACCGCCCACATGCCCCTTTTTCTGCTATTGTGACATTCAATGCTGGGAAAGTGTTTAAAGCATTAGTTACAGTTACAAACAGTGATACTTATGGCACCAGTGAGAAATCAGTGATGGAAACCTGACAGAAATATAGTCACGCTGTCTAAGACAAGAGTCTGTTTGGCCGCCCTCAGCTGGAAGACATGTGTCAAGTTAAATCCTTGCAACAGCCAGAATTCAGCCCAGTGATTAGTCTCTGTGAGACATTCCTGATACGGAGCTTGTTTTCACTGCACTGTGACCCTTATGGTGTCAGATATGTCCGCGTGGGAGTCAATGATTCGTGCCCCAGAGTAATACAAGTAAAAAAGAACATTTTAATTACACTGTGCTACTCAACATTCCTAGAATTCTTCATTGAGTAATGTCATGGCTCTATATACAACTAACAGGGGTTTTAAAATGACCCCCAGTTACTGTGTGTTGTCCTGAAGTGGTTGCATTTTTATAAATAACACAATCTGCTTAAATGTAAAAAAGGTAATGAAAAGTTAACATCAAATAGAAGAAGGCGAATTGTCAAGATGTATGACTTATTTTAAAAGTTTAAGCTCATATATTTCATATTTCAAAATGCTTTCTCTCATAACCCAAAAGTGACACATAGCCTTACATTTTTCTCTGATGCACAACACCTCCTGAAAGCAGACTGTCACCATCTATTCGCACATTTATTTTTAACAGGTTGTAGATTGACCACTAGCGGGGACCCCAAAAGGAGCTATTAAAAAAAAAAAGCAGAAAAGGCTGTAATGCTCGTGGCCTGCAGGTGGCACAAGTGTCAGAACTGCTTCAGCTTATTGTCTTTGCCATATAAAAAAACAATTTCTGTCTTGCCCTGCTACATGTAACTATCCTGTCTCATTAACCTCCAGTCTGTCTGTCTGTTGTCGCTTTGTTTATCTTTCTATTTTTAAACTGGGTATTCTCAGGGAAACGTCCGGCTATCACAGGGCTGTGAATCTGTGAAGAGATCATTTGGTTCTGGTTAAGGAACCTTGTGTCGTCCATGTATGAGCATGTTCACAACATGCCGTACGTTTCCCTCTCTGTCTGCTCGTCTCAGAGTTTTTAAGCTCCTGTTTGTCTCGTCCTCAGTTTCTTTGTCTTGTCTGCTTCCCTTTGTCCTCCCTTCCTCCCATCCTACTTTTTATCCTTTTTTTCTTTCCTTGTCTCCCTCCCTCCATCCCTCTCTCTTTCTTTGCTGTCTGTTTCCCTCCCTGTGTGTGCCTTTGTGTCTGTCTTGCTGTCGGAGGTGTGGTCCAGAGAAAGCTACTATGAGAGGCTGTGGAAGGTAGAGGTTACAACACTGTTGTGCTAGAAATGAGCTTTGTCTTAGAGAACTTTAAATCATTAAGAAAAATGTCTCCAGTCATTCTAAGATGGGAAACTATTCATCAACTTTCAGCAGCTTCATCTCAACAAATCACCAGAAACCAAGAGAAGAAACAAGGCTGTGGGTTCACCAAGCGCTTCTGTTTTTAGCCACTGGTGCCCAGCAAAGGAACAGAAAAGAATAGAGACGGGTAGCAGACTCACTCTCCGCTACTAAATTATCGTCCTTTAGCCAGCCGCATTCAGCAGCTTGGATTAAAAATTCTTATTTCTCACGAGAGACTTACTTTGTTATGCTTCCTCCAACCTTTTCAGGAGCAGTCTCAACATCCTTTTTTTTCAAATCAGACAAGCCAGTGCTTTAAAGAGAAGTCTTTGGTGAACGTGCAACCATAACACTTTATACACACCTGCATAACATCTAACCAGAGATTCTACTGGTCGATCGTCCCCGACTATTACATAGCTCATATCGGCAATTCATGGGTGTTGATGTTCGTAACACAGGGACAGTAGCCACTTCAACTAACAGCTTGCTGGACTTGCAGCCCAGTGGGTGTTCCCTGTTTTGATTGACAGCTAACCCAGCCACACAAACAGCTCCTAGGTTTGTGTGTTGATTGTCTGAATGATCCAGTGCCCCGTCTTCTAACATTCAGTTTAGGGAAAAGGATGAACAAGCATTGTAACTGTATTTTTTCTTTTCCCCCCCTGTGTATTTCTATTTTTCAACTTCTATTCCTCTCCTCACCCCCCCCTCTCTCTCGCTCTCTCCCGCTCTCTGTCTGTAGCCTAGTAGACCAGGCTATCCCAGTCCTCGCTCCAGTGAAGGTTTTTACCCCGGTTCCCAGCATCCTGGACACTACCAGGTACGCTATGTGCAAAATCCATTGCAGAAATTATAAAGATGGGACCTTTCCTGGTTAAATAAAGGTTAAATAAATAAATAAATAAAATAAATAAAAAAGATAAAAACATAAATAAATTCAGCATAGGTAAAGATGTAAGGGTATAAATCAAACAAGAACTGATAAAAGACTAACAGTGTGTCTTTCTCTCTCTCCTCCCTCCGTGGGTCAGATGGCAGGGTATCCCGGCCCTCACACCCTCCCCTCGGTGCCCAGCGCCCTCTACCCCCCACAGGCTGCGATGCTGGACACACACCACGCGCACACCCACCCCCGCCACCACGTCCACACACACTCGCACGCACAGCACCTTCCCCAGCCACATGGACACGACATGGCACTGTGGGGCTCTGCGATGGAGGTAGGAGACCAGTTTTACACTCACACACACACACACTTGGGTAAGTCATTGACTAAAATACATACAAACAGATGCTGTCAGTATGTAACGGGCACAGCGGCTTTGTTCAGTCACACTCAAAACAAAAAAAGTCAAAAGTCGTTCAAAACAATGAAAAGATCATTTTGTTGCCTGGCAACCTTAACAGACTGATCAGTGG